CAACGTGGTGTAGTGCATCGGGTATGTCATCATGCGCAAAAAGATTGTCTCGCCGATGAGTCGCGTGAGGCTCAGTAATAACAGCAATCTAAATGCTATAGCGGGAAGGTATATATGTCCTATCCTGAAACATTGGACAGTGCAAGTTAAGGGCGTAGCCCAGTTTGAAATATAATTAAGTTGCACTGATTATTACTAACCTTGATATAACTATAGTTCTTTTACTAAAATACAATGGATATTTTATGGTCCGAAATAAAGAATTATTATTATTATTTAGAAAAGGTAGCAATTCTTGAATATACACTCAGTGCCGAATGCCACAGGCGACCAGCCATCCTGACGGTCACATTAATTTACCACAATGCGGGGTGCATTCAGACCATGAATATTATTTTTGTTGTCTAGAATACAAGCTGGTGGCATTTATCTCGCACATGGGCACGTCGACAATGGTCGGCCACTACGTGTGCCACGTCCTACACGAAGGTCGCTGGGTCATATTCAACGACAATAAGGTAATTTTTATGTACAAAATGTAGACCAGAACCCTAGACCAATTTTAGTCAAGTCTAGAACTAATTAAGAAATCATTTGCAGGTGGCGCTATCCGAGAATCCTCCGAAGGAACTGGGATACTTGTATTTATATGAACGGCTGTGATGTTAGCAAAAGTTGAACTGAACCAAAAATAATCGGCTCCGTTGTATGGATCGAAGAATTTAATCTACTAGACTGCGCGTATGTGTACACTGAAATAAGAGATTTTAAAATAACTACTTTGTAGGCGATATTTATTTTATAGAAACAAATTTTAAATAAATTTCAACTAATATAAACGAAATTGTATTTTAATGTCTATTGAAGTAGTTATTTTTGCGTAAGAATGCATTTTTTTGTTTGCAATTTATTTTTACACTTTTTATTAGAAAGGTGCAATTGGTAAATGTTTTTACTTTTTGAATTATTGTAAGATATGACTGCAAGTTTGTAAAATATTAATTGTTGTTCTATGTAATTTTTGTAATTACCGCATTTTATTACAATATGGTTTGTTTGAGTTCAACAACAGTGTTTTATCCATTTTGGTACTTTGTCACCTAACAATCATGTGGTTATCCCAACGCCGTGAATTCAACAGGTAAAAGAACATAAATATAGCGCATTGAATGGACCTATTCACTTAAACACAACGAAAATTAAAATAAATTATTATAGAAATGCACTCTTTATTTTCTTTTATTTTAACATAAAACAAGTGAACGAAACAGTACTCCCTGAAAATGTAGTTCTTGATATATATGCATGGAATACTAATTCCAATTTGGATCACAAAAACACCCTTGCATTATAAACACTAATTAATTTTATTTATATACAAGTAAATTGGAATTTCTATCATAAATATAAATTTTATCGTTTGAAACGGTCTGATTGTCTAGGTATTTTCTTCCAGAAGATGGTCTTCTCATCATAGTATGTGTTGAATTTTTTCCAGTCGCTCCTCTTTGTAGGGTCTTTGTTACACCAGTGAGGAGTTAGATTAATCATAAGACCTGAAACAATAACAAGGAAACTATATAGTAACAAATACATTTTGAAATTTTTCAATTATACTTCCTAATCTTGTGCCACGTGAACAAAGGGCCTTCGAGAATCACGATCCTACTATAGGGATGAAACAGTAGAGCTTGTTGTGAGAGAGTTTGTTCAGGGAAGTACTGCCACCTTACCTATTTCTGCCCCAAGCAGTAATGTAAGCATTACTACATTCTGGTTTTGAAGGGTTGGGATGCTGGTGAGATTACAGGCACATAGCGATACCTCCAATGAACACTAAGCCAACTTAATTTTTTTATTTGGTTTTTTTCTTTTTTTTTACAAAATTCGTTTTTTTTGTTCTTGTTTCTTTTTTTCACAGAATTCGAGGAGGGATAAGATTATATTTATATTAAACCGCCATATTTATTTACTAAGGCAAATAAATATGGCTGTTTACAAAAATAACAGAAGACAACCAAAAAATAAAGATGGCGTAGTGTTCATTGGAGGTGTCGATAGGACTTGTCATCTTATGTCTCAGTTGGGACTGGCATAGAGGCAGTGCCCCTCAGATCCTTGCTTTAAGCATGTTGCTTACCACTAGGCGCACTCATAAATTTTAATGGAATAGTTAGACTATATTAGTCCCAAAGTGCTCGGGCTGTAGTTCCTAGTAGTAATGCAGATCAGGAACTTCACACTCACATTAAATTGCTTTGCTGATGTGTGCAAGTTACATCACAATGTTTTCCTTCACCGAAAGGCTTATGGTAAATTTCAAATTAAATATTGCACATTAATTTCGAATAACTCAAGAGGTACAAACCCACAACCCTCTGCTTGAGAGGCGTTAGGTCAAACTATGAATCGCCAATCAAAACATATCATGTCATTTAAATGTTAATATTACAAAAACATAATTCGCACCACTTATGGAAGAATGGCATAAGTGAAGTTACATCAACAATGTTTATATTGCTCCATTAGATACAGAAAAATATAGGCCACATCCTCTGCACTTCTTGTAACTCTTATCTACAAATTATTCTAACTGTACCGACTATAATTCCATAGAGTTACTAGAATTGGAGAGGATGTGGATAAAATTTTTCTGTATCTAATTCAGCATTAAAAATTTTTGACGTTACTCTACTTATCTGCCATGTGGGGTGCAATTGTTAAGAACTAATCTATGGCAGTACAAATAAGATATAGCATAAAAGTTGCACATATATCTATTTGCACAACGAACGAACGAACTGCTAAATAAATCGCGACTTTTACTTACCAGCTTTTTGTGCCATTGAAACCATCTTACCAATTTTCTTCTGCTGCATACGACATAGTCCTGTTATTCGCCGTGGCAACATACAACCGTCAGATCTTACGAATTGGCTCAATATTAATACATCGGTGTGCTTTACTTCAAGACCGAGAGAGCACATATAACAGGGAGGCTTGCCAGTTTTCGCATCTTCAGGACGAGGCAAACCAAGGTTCTCCGGCCGGACTAGGAGGCGCGTGCGCGGCGAGGGCACAGTCACACCTTCCACAACCAGTGAGGATCCTTCTTTCTTCTCATGGACTGGAAATTACCATAAATTTAAAGATCATCAGAATTGTTTACAATATAACCTATAAAGTTTATTATTCTAAAAGATAAATGCAAAGTATGTATTTTACTTACTTTCTTTAATACTTAAGGGCATTGTTGTTGAAATAGAACGCACCGGTGTAGAAAATAACGCATTTTTAACTGAAATGTAACTAGCCCTCACTAACGCCGCCATCTTTGTTTATCAAATCAATATGACAGTGACAGTCAGACAGTGTGATACATTGTTGCCAGCGATCAATTTTCGATTTCCGGTGTTGCCGTGTTGACTGTTCAGTTAGCAAAATTGTCATGTGTTTTTAGTAAAAGTCACAGACATATAACTCGATAGACGCCTAAGTATAGCAATTTGTATGAAAACCAAGCGTGACACATTTTTTGTACCCACAATGACGTCACAAGAGCTCTTTAGTGATGGAAACCTCTTCCTCTCGCTCTAAATCGATTGATTGAACGGAATGCGCGTAAACACGCATAATTCATTCAATTAATCGATTCTAAATATAATAATTTTTGTTCAAGTATTTATTGATTACAAGTAGGCGTAATAATAATATAACAGAAAAAGATAGTTAAGTTCTTAATTTAGCTTGTTTTAAAAAAATGTTGATTACTTAAAGAAATTAAGACTTTAATTTCTTTAAGACTTCAAATATTGAAATTATTGTCTTTCCAATAAAATGAGCTTGTTATATAACATCTTTTTGTAATAGAAGATCTTATCGATTAACTTAAATAATGAATACGCATGTCAATTTACGAACGTGCAGCTGCCTTAATTAATTTTACTAGATGGTTTTCTGTTGGTAATTGATCAAATTGATGAATGGCAAGAAAAATGAAAATGATACTGCCGATAAAATATAGTAAAATCTTATTAATCAGAGGAGGTTTACTTAATGACGGCCTCGTGTAAAACTTTTGTGATTTGTTTAATAATTCTCGGGTTTCTAATTCTGCTACTCTGCATATTTGAATAGTATCTTAGGTGGAATAAACTAGACCACCTTCGTCGTCGAAAGCAACAGACTCATACATATGACCAACTCCAGGTTTTTGTAAAGACAGCGCACACTGTTAATTCTTTGCATTATATATTTTTTTTGTATTACTCGTACTACACGTCCGGCGATGTATGTAATTATTTCTCACTATATTCGGAGATTCGAGGCAACGTTATTTTCGATAAAAATTATCGAAATTACAGATACTACTGATAATAGATACTACAAAACTGAAAAAGAAAAGAAACGTTACTATACGTTATAACAAAAGAGTTATAGAATATTTGTATAATATTGCTAAGGTCATAATAACTCTCGTCCCTTTGTTTTCAAAATCGATCAGAATCGAGAACAGTGTTGCCTAACGTATCATCACTAAATGTTAAATTTGGCCAAAGAAATATACAAGCGGCTGAACCACGAAACTGCATTATACAAAAGTGCGTTCGTTCGATATTCATGGCCTATTAACAAAGGACACAAATATATCACACCAAGTAAAATCCGCAATGAATTACAAAATATGAGGCATACTCTCGGTTGCATGTTTGTTTTCTCGAAATTCATACAAAACCAAAATAATTGTTTTTAAATAAATTATGCATCTTCTGCTTACAAAAACACTTACCCGTGAAAGGAAACGTCCCTGTTTACTCACAGTTATGGTGATTTTGCAGTTTATCATGCCACACTTACGCATTTTTGACTGGTGTTTATCTACGATAACGGTCGAGCGCGTTCTGATGTGTAGCAGCGGCAATTAAGTGAATTTCACTTACTTTGGGCACGCGAAGTACGTACACTTGCGGCGTCTATCTACATATGTCTGTGGTAACAGTGTACAAAATGCTCCTGTAACGATTTTATGTATAGAAATCTGAGAGCTTTCGGTTATTTTCCATTTTAAGAATTCTCGTAATTTGGAAATAGTCTTAACAATGCGCAAAACTATGATTTTTTTCTAGTCCTAAGGTTTAGCTGGTTTCAAGTTTTTACATTGTAATTTATTATAAATAATAATTGCTGTTGTAAAGGTTTTGCTGTCATCGTCGTCGCTAAATAACGGCTTAGGCAAAGTGTAGTGTGATAAAAGTTGTCTTGTTCTTTCCAGTTCCAGGTGGCGTTTTGTTTTTGCATCAATCGGATGTTATGGTAGAAACAAGGTGTACGAGTAATGGCAACCTTTGTTCTAACTTTTTGTCGAAATAGCGCGAACAAGGAACCGCTCGGTAAACCTCTGAGACACCGAGTTAATCAACTGTGTACATAATAAATACATTTTTCCTTTTTTTACGTGTTTAAGAACATTGTTTTTACCCTTTCTAGCACAGTATATTCATGTATTTACATTATAAATTACTATTACTTGAAGATGTATTTATAAATGAATAAAAAACTGGTAAATGTAAATAGACTGTTTAATTTGCGAAAAACGTACTTTATCATGACAAAATACAAACGCTGCAAACAAAGATTGTTCGAGTATGCGTACTTACAAAATAAAATAAATGACTAACAATAATCAATAACAAATTTTTATTATCAATGCTTGTTTTTAAACTTTGTAATAAGCAACATTTAGAAAGCACATTTTTTGTCAAAATACACAATATATTTGTTAAGTGTAAGTTTATTGTGTAAATAAACACCAAAATACGGCAGTAAATATTTTAAGATTTTTTTAATAATCTAGGGCACGATTGCGCGTAGGCCGAGTTGTCATACTGTCTAACATTGTAGAAACGCGTTTCTTTTTAAATAGTAGGTATGCATTAAATTTTTGTACCCAAAGTAGTATCTTAAATTCTTGTAAAGGACGGTCTGCAAAGCTTGTAACAGTAGCATTTATGAATATTTAGATGAAATTGTAATTGTGAAAATGCCATTAAAATGCAATATACATTATATCATAATAATTAATTATATAAATGAAACAAAATTGGTTGGTTTACAATTAAATTAAAACATATTTACATACCAACACAAATGTCAATAAATAAATAATATAAATGAGATTGCAATAGGCATTATGTTCAAACCAGGTTCAAACAAATTACATTTATTATATTGACTTAACGCCTTTTTCATTGCGCAATTCTTTGTGAATAGATTTCTCACACTGATTTTATTGATTAACAAAATACTTAAAAAGATATTCAATAAAAATTGTACTGCAATCCTAAAATAACACATAATTTTGAACATAATTTGTGCAAGTGTAATTTATTGTGAAAAAAATCGAAGTTTGTGTGACCTGACAAGGGAAAACTCGCAACATACTTACACCTTTTTTTGTAATAAATTTTCATCATACAATTATAATATAGATAGAAGGCTACGCGGATGTTTATTCTACAGCAGGAAATGCAGTTTTCCCATTTATAATATCTCTCAGAAATTTGTGAATTGGCGAGTTTACTTATGCCCAAAAGCTCCGAAGCTTTTGCCCAGAAGTCCTGCAGCACCTTCCGCACCCTGATTAGCAGCGGAGGACAGGTTTGAAGACAGCTGAAGAAAAACAATTGAATGAAAACAGTTATTTTTTCAAGTATGATTACATTAAAAAAAATGCATTACCTCCCCGCGCTTTTCGTTCAAGTACTTGTCCGTATCTTTGATTTTGTTGTCAACAACTTGGCTAGCATTCTTGAGTCCTTCGTCAGCAGCGTTCTCAACGCGCTTAAATGTGTTGTCTACGGCACTGTTTACGGCATTACTCGCGTCGGCGGCCGCCTTCCTAGCTTCCTCTTTAGCAGCTTCAGCTGCCAATCGCGCTTTTTCTTTAGCGTCCTCAGCCGCCTTCCGAGCCTGCGCTTTTGCATCTTCCGCTGTTTTCTTGGTGGCATCTACAGTCGCGTTAACTGCATCTGAGTATAAATATAAAACACAGCTTTCAGATAAACACTCTAAACATTCGGCAGCACATCTATAGCTAGTAAGAAAACCTTTGAAATAGCGAAAGGTCTCAACGTTAGTGCTGTGATAATACACTCGCGTAGTGGAATTATAAAATCACGGAAGCAAACTTTGGTCAGTACTTTTATTGCGCAGCTCCACTCATGTTGTTAAAAAATCCGACCACTTGAACCGGATTTCTTTTCGGTTAAGCTGTAACACACATATTGTATTTAATTATACCAGTAGATTGCCCTGCTGCTTTCTTACAACCATCCACCACAGATTCTGAAGTGCCTTTCGCAGAACCCAGTTTTCCTTGTACAGTATCTAAAAATTTTACAATTAAATTACAGATTATATAAAACAGAACTGTTACCTTCTATGTTGGCGTCTCTGCTACCGTTATGCTGCGTTATTGACATAAAGACTCCCATAGAGGCATCTACACCATTTTGATCAGCTTTGGCTTTAGTAAAAGAAGAAGCATAGAACACAGAATAAATAAAAAGCATTGAAATACTCAAAGTGCTAACACACTTGTTACTGATAGATTTCGATATAATTAAAATTGAAAGAGTCAAAGTGTATGTTAAAAAGCAAATAGAAAGAAAAGTTAAAGAACCACATGCAACCAGCTTAATAAATAGTAGGTGATAAGTATAATACGTTACCTTTAGTGCCTCCAACAAGTGACGCACCCTTATCATATACAGAACTCGTCAGCTTTTTCGTTGTATCTACAGTACTTTGTACAGTATGTGCTACCGTATCTATAAATAATAAGTAGGGACTTGTAGCACACAATAATGATAAAGAAACATAAAAAGCAGACAGGCCGGGATAAACCTTTGGCACTACTAACGATTGATATGCGTCCACAGTAATAATAATACAGACAAAAAAGCATGCACCATATTAATTACTATGATACCTTTAGCATTCCCTACAAGCGATGAACCTTTCTCAACAGCGGATGCTGCGATATTTTTTGTTGTGTCTACGGAACTTTGCAATGTAGCCGCTACTGTGTCTTTAGCACTTCCGACTAGAGCTGTAGCCTTATCTGCTGCGCTAGCAGCTACATTCTTTGTGGTATCAATTGTACTCGCTACAGTATCTACGATGGTGAATAAAGAAAACGTAAATGATATAAAAAAAATAGCCTAAAGCCAAATAACTTCATACTGTAATTTAAGAGCCCTTTTCTATAAAACTTTAAAGAGTCTCTGCTCTGGGTTCTGTGCTCTGAACTACGAGTATATTAGTTGCTATATTATTGATACACTCAATAAAGGACGGAGTTTTTTAATGATTTCTGTAGTATACTTTGTTGAGAATACAGACAGAATTGTAAATAATAATAAAATAAAATGAAAAAGAAATAAAAATTCGAAAAAGCTTCGTTATGAATACCTTTAGCAACACCAACGGCAGATGAGCCCTTTTCGACCACGCTACCAGCTACATTTCTCGTTGTGTCAACAGCCGTCGCAGCCGCACTCTTCGTAAGTTCAAGTGTGTTTTGAGCAGTGCTAGCGACTGCGTCTTTGGCACTACCGATAAGTGATGAGCCTCTATCAACAGCTGACGCTGCCGCAGTTTTCGTTGTATCTACTGTGTTTGCTACCGTATCTAGCATCAATAAGTACTTTTAATATGTGTTTCAATGGTATCAAGTTAGTTTTTGCACCAAATAATCGTTAGCATTACTAATTATTGTTTTGTCTTGCTCTTTTCAACATTAGCCTTGCAGAACTATTCGTGGAATCCACGGGAGATCGAACCGTGCTCGCAGACTACAAAATATGTATAATATGAAAAAAATGAAATGACTTCACATAAAATACCTTTAGCAGATCCTACAAGTGACACGCCTTTGTCAAAAGCAGATGCTGCTACACTTTTTGTTGTATCTACCGTAGTGCTCATAGTGCTGGCAATTTTATCTATGTGCGAGACAAATAATGCGACACTTATTATTAAAGCGAGAACAAAATACTTAGTCACAGCACAACTACTACATCAGCTGCTATACAGGCTGTATATTTGAAAGTGAGACATATTCATATATGTCATAGTATATCATGTTACAACTTAACATAGACTAAAATAAAATTAGGATATGGGATAGAACAAAAAAAAAATCATCAAATGTGTTTTGAAGTATACATAGGAGTAAACCGATTCCCTTTACGCTTGATTTCGAGTGCAATGGGAATACTACCAAGCGAGTGCCGAGTGAGACAGCAACAATAACAATGATTTCACATTTACGTTTTAGCTTATGTTAATTATTTTTTACTTGAACTATCATCAAAATGTTTTACGTACTAAAAAAGATAAATTTATGATTTAGTAACCAGTTATCGTTTAATAAGAATTGAGGTTTTTGGCGTAGTTAAAGATGTGAAATCAAATTATTTACAATTATTGATTTTTTAGTTATTTACAGTTTATTTACACTTACGCGGTACGGAGCAAGTGTTCAAAATGTCCACCGTTTTCCACAATGCATAGTCTAATACGGCATAGTAAATTTTGTTTAAAATTGTACAATATAAACACATTTTGTCTCACAGTACAAAATGCTGAGATAATCTTCTCACGCAACGCTTCGACACTGTTCACCTCCTCCGCGTAAATTCCGATTTGGGAACGTTTCAATAGCTTGCCTCACACTATCACCACTTATTGTGTAAAGTCACACCATCTCAATTCAATTCGACATTTTGCGGCGATCGGGCGAGCGGAAGTACAAATAATTTACGTGTCTTCGTTAGATCAATGTCGCGCGTGCACTGTCTGAAGTTGCAAACAACAATTTCGCGTATGCGCCCGCGTCCCCATCCCCGACCTGTGTTTTGTTTTTCGCCGCCGTGCTGCCACCCGCCGCTGCGTCGGAGCAATAATAGTGAAGTGCATAGATTTCGATAACTAATGTTGTTCTCAAGTAGTAGTCAATAAAAAAAATTAAAAAATATTTTTTGTAAAGTTTAGTTCATTAGTTTTCTATTTCTTTGGGTTCAGAATCAGGAATATAACGCACTCTATAAGTATGTCCCACTTTCAAATATACAGCCTGTATATGTTAACATGTACTATTTTTACCTTTTGCCGAATCGACGTAAGCTTTTCCTGTATCAATTGAGCGTTCAGCCACTTTTTTAGTGCTATCTACAGAACTAGCGATAGTACCTAAGGTAAAATAAATATAATTATGAAAAAGTATGTCAGTTTTCAACAACAATAGACATTTTTGAAGCATTTATTAGGCAACATAAAAATACCTTTAGCGGATCCTACAAATGAAGCACCTTTATCAAAAGCCAATGCTGCAACGTTTTTTGTGGTATCTACAGTCGTGTTCACAGTACTGGCAATCTTATCTAAAATGTGTGAGACGAATAATGCAACATTTAATTAGACAAAGGACAAAATGCTTAGTCACATCACGAAAAAATAATCGTTAAGAAGAAATAGATTATTTTTACCATTTGCCGAACCGACGTAGGATTTTCCGGTCTCAATTGTGCTTTCAGCTGCCTTTTTAGTGCTATCTACAGTGCTTGCGATAGAATCTACGATAAAATACAAGTATTTTACTAAATAATAAATTAGGTTAACAAAAATAAATCAACGGAGCACGTGTAACTAAACGAATTTCACTATGGAAACAGCATACATGTCTTAAAGCATATAAGCAACATAAAATACCTTCAGCGGATGCTACTAAAAAGCCACCTTTGTGAATGGCCGACGCCGCTACGTTTTTTGTGGTATCTACAGTTACGATATCTCCGAGTACTGGCAATTTTATCCACAACGTACGACACAAACAATGGAATATTGTATTATATTCGTGTGAGAACTAAACGCTTTGACACATAATGAAAATAAGCTTTTCTTAACTTGGACGAAATTGAACCACACAGAACATGTACGAAAAAATGTATGTTCTGTGGATTACCTTTAGCCGAATCGATGTAAGACTTTCCGGTTTCGATTGTACTTTCAGCTGTTTCTACAGCGCTTTCGACAAATATCTCTAGGATAAAATAAAAAGTATTTATAAAAAAGAAATAAAGGTATTAAAGCCAGAAGACATCAGCATAAAACGTGTAAATTAATTCCTGTACGTTTTTGTAACATCTACACTACGTATACTTTTAATACTAAAGTAATATTAAGTTAGTGCTCACAGTATAGAATGACAAGCAAACGAAAAAAATGCCACCAATATCATTATTTGACGATGCGACGGTTTGATTAATCAAATCACAACACAGAGGATTTCACACCACATTAATATTTTACCTTTAGCAGAGTCAAGGTAAGATTTCTCAACTGTTTCTGTTGTATTTTCACCAATGCTTTTGTTGCCGTCTACAGTGCTGGTTATGGTATCTAAGAATAATAAAATAGGAATAAGAATATCTTAGCGTAATAATAAATAAAATATAATTCAAACGAACTGTGATTTGCGTGATACCTTTAGCGGATTCTACAAGCGTCGCGCCTTTGTCATAAGCCGATGCTGCAGCGCTTTTTGTACTATCTATCACTGAGCTCATGGTACCGGTAATAGTGTCTACGTAAAATAAAATTATTTTTAGATTAGTGCGCAAGGGAACTACACTAAAAACAACAATGATATCAAATGAGTAACACTTATTACCTTTCGCCGAATCGATGTAAGATTTTCCGGTTTCTGTGGTACTTTCAGCAGCGTTCTTGGTACTATCGACAGTGCTGCCTACGGTATCTTAAAAATATTAGAATAAATATAAAAAAAGTAAGGTGGTGTGTATTGTCAATAATATATTATGTAAATTAACTGAGCAACTTGTGATACCTTTAGCGGAGCTTACAAATGACGCCCCTTTGTCGTAAGCCAATGATGCAACGCCTTTTGTACTATCTACCACTGAGCTCATGGTATCAGTAATAGTGTCTACGTAAAATTTAAAAAAAAAGTGTTGATTAGTGCGAAATAGCACAACGCATAAAACGGTCATGTTCATCAACTGAGTAACGTTTGTTAGATACCTTTCGCCGAATCTATGTAAGATTTCCCTGTTTCAGTTGTGCTTTCTGCAGCGTTATTCGTGCTATTCACAGCGCTGCTTACGGTATCTTAAAATATTAAAATAAAATAAAAAAATCAAGACGGTGTGTATTAAAAATTATTAAAAAAGTTCTGTTCGTTTATAATACCTCCTACAAGTGACGCGCCTTTGTCGTAAGCCGATGTTGCAACGCTTCTCGTGCTATCTATGACTGAGCTCACGGTACCGGTAATCGAGTCTACGTAAAATAAAAAAAAACTCATGATAAGTGTGGAAGGGAACACATGAAAAAACTACGAAGAATGTCAATTAAGTGTCGTTCTTTACCTTTTGCAGAATCTAGGTAAGATTTTCCGGTTTCAGTAGTTGTTTTGGCAGCGTTTTTGGTACCGTCTACAGTGTTGCCTACGGTATCTTAAAAATATTTAAATTAAAGCAAATAAATCAAGGCCCTTTCCGTATGAAATATATTATTCAATATGGTGTGTCATGTTATACCTTTAGCGGATCCTACAAGTGACGCGCCTTTGTCGTAAGCCGATTCTGCAACGCTTTTCGTGCTATCCAATGTTGAGTTCACGGTACCCGTGATAGCGTCTACGTAAAGTAAGAATCCCGTTTATTAGTTACCGAAAGACACACACAGAGATATCAATTGAATGACATTCATTACCTTTTGTCGAATCGAAGTAAGACTTTCCTGTTTCAGTTGTGCTTTCAGCAGCATTTTTGGTGTCATTTAAAGTACTGGCTACGTTATCTAAGAATATCATAATGAAAATAAATTAAGGCGGAATTAAAAATGCAATGTAACAAACTTCATGTGTTCAAGCCATGTGATACCTTTAGCGGATCCTACGAGTGATGCGCCTTTTTCAAATGTCGATGATGCAATGCTTTTTGTGGTATCTATCGTTGAACTCACAGTGCCGGTTATTGAGTCTACGTAAAATAAGCATGCTGATGTTTATTGAGAGTAAAGGAAATTTTTCAAATAATATTTGTCGATAGATCTACTCGATTTACCTTTAGCTGAATCGATGTAAGATTTTCCAGTTTCGAATGTGCTCTCGGCAGCCTTTTTAGTGTTATCTACAGTGCTTGCAACGGTATCTACAAAACAATTCGATAGACTAAATAAATAAATATGTCAAGCTATAAATAAATTTCTAGGAACACAGAGCAACAAAATACCTTTAGCACTATCTAAATAAAATTTGCCCATGTCATAAGCGGAATACGCTGCCGTCTTCGAGGCATCCAATGCCGTTTGCAACGAGGCTTGAGCAGTATCTAAAGCATTAATTAGCAAGTAATTTTAGTCGTCACAACACACTTAAAAGTTTTAGGTAAAATTTTAGTCATATCTGATTAGCAAATTTGATTGAAGTCACTCGTAAGGTGAAATTATACTTGAAACAAAAAGAGCAGTAGGTACAAAAATACATGTGGTTTTTGTTAGAAAAACACAAGGCACATACATAAACTGGGTGATATTGTACCTTTGGCACTGTCTACATAGGATTTGGTTGCTTCGCTAGTGGCTTTCTTACTATCATCTCCAATGCAACTTACTTTGCTTGCCAGAGTGTCTACAAAATATTGCAAATTATAACAGAATGATTTTAATAAATTATAAAGCCTCCAAGTGAACGGTACGGTTTAAGCCAGGTACTCACTAGAGTGCTGTAACCGTTACATGTTATGTTACCAAAAATACCAGAGTGTGTACTCATTGTACCGAGTGAAGTCTGTTCATACTAGAACCTCGTTACTGTAACTGTCACGTTAGTTCACGTTACAGTTACACCTCGCTAAAGAGTACCCGGCTTTATAATTTTATGTATTGCATTATTCCTGACACAAACCAAAAGGGATGTTAAAATCAGTATCCGCAAACGCGCTTAGATGTACAGTAGCCCTCCACAAAGTGTAGGTGTCCAAATTTGAACATTTAAACAGGACTACAAAGATTCGTGGAGAAAGAAGGAAGAAAATAAATTATTAGTGGCGGAATCGAAGGTAATTCGAAAGATACTTGGTCTTCAGGAATTCGGGAACTGGAGGGCTAAATTCAATAGAGAGATAGAAGAGCTAGTGGCCGAACCGAACACGAACCGATCGAGGAGATAAAATCCGCCCGATTTCGAGTGCAAATAATGGCAGAGCTGCCAAAAGAAGTTAGGACAATCTACGGATTGTCGTCCAGTGGCCCGCCCGAGATATCAGTGGAAGAAAGAAGTCACCATAGACTTAAACTGCATGTGCCCAAATGGTCGTAATTGTTAAAAGACCGAATGAAATGGTGTACTATGATGTCGGAGGCCAACAATCACTTCAGGTTGCTGAGCCAGCGAAGTAATTGTAATATAATGGACAGTTTCATAATAAAAGCACTTGAGACTAAATATAATCACCTCTAGCAGACGCGGCATATGTTTTTCCTGTTTCGACAGCCGACTGCGCAGCTTTTTGAGTGCTATCTACAGTACCAGCAAGCGTATCTAAAATAAATATAATATAAATATAAAACAGTTTGGGAGTACCAGTAGTGATATCTCTAGAACGTACAGGTGTTTGTTGCGTAAAAATATTGCGATAATAAGTTCTACTTATGCGCCGGATATCCATTTCCATAGTTACCCTTTAACCATTAACGTTCGATAGATTTTTTGCGACCTGGAATCATCTTTAAATGGCAAAATAAACTTTTGCTATCTTTTAGGTTGTTTTACAAGACTTTGAATAGAGAATATAAATAAATCCGAAATAATGAATCTGTACTAACTTACTTATGTAGGTACTATATAGGGACATGTAAAGTCGGCATATAAATAAAAAATTGTTTATCGAGACAATGAAACTATTTCATCGGTTCTGATTCACGTATACTTAAATACTTTAGACATTTTTTTTCCATCCTCTAAGCTAGATACGCGATTTAGATCCGAAAAAAAATAGTTTCACTACCAACATTATAAACTAAACAGAATAACAAACTTTGTTGGACTTAGGTGTTTTAATCTGCCAACCTTAGATATACAAAATACACTCGTTCCACTGCAATGTATTGTCATCAAGGAAAAGAAAAAATACAATACCTAAGACTAATTAAAATGTACATGGTTCTCCAAAGTCAACGATCTTGAATATGAAATGAAGTAGAGAAAGATTTCGAAAGTAACAATTACATTTAGCTCCGCCTACGCGAGCTGACTAATAGTGCTGCATATATCCACGTTTGACAATAATATCTTGGTTTCAGTTTATTTACCTTTGGCGCTGTCAATGTATGATTTGCCGGTGTCCAGCGTAGATTGAGCCGCTGTCTTTGTGCCCTCCACCGTATTATCGATAGTTTCTACAATACGTGCAAGTTAAAAAAGAAAGAAGTGAAAGGAGTAAGGGAAATAACTATTTCCCAAGTAAATTGTCGGTATAGAAACGTGCGAAAATAAAACAGGAAAATAAGGCATTAGCTGTAGAATTGGACTTCCTTACCTTTCGCAGAGTTGACGGCGGATTCGGCTTGTTTCTTTGTGTTTTCTGCAGTGGTAGCAAGCGTGTCTAAAATACAAATACACGAAATAATTTCAAAAACATGTGCTTATACTTTATTACCTAAATTCTAACTACGACAAAAAAACTACTTGTCTACTTTTAGCAAATCAAATTATAAAGTTACTCATCCGATAATCTTCCTCCGAGTTCGACGAGAAATCTAAAAAGTCGTCATTATTTAGTACTTACCCTTCGTGGTGTCAATGACTTTCTTGCCGTCGGCCACAGCCTTGCTGGCAGCGTCTTTGGCTTCTCCGGCTGCTACTGACACTTTGGAAAGTTCTTTATCCAAAGCATCGATGGCGGAATTCCTCGCCTGGTTAGCTGTTAGGGCAATAGCGGTTCATTATAGCATCAATCAATCATCTGAGTCACAGCGTCAAGTTACCTAATTGTTACATCTTAATCGTTATTCTTATTTAAGTTTAAAAAATTCCATTTTAGATTTGGATCAGAATGATCCAAATTTTAATCAAGGTTTCCCTTTATAGTTTAAACACCATTATGTTGCGGATGCATTTTACAATAGCTATCTTAAATGCGGTCGTTGCGAAAGTCGTCCTTAGCAGTGAATTTTCTGATCTTAACACGGCTGACCTCAACAATCAACAAAATTGATACAGCGTTACCATAAAAAGCCAGACGATTTATATAAAATCACACATACCCGAATCGGCAGCTTCACCTGCAGACTTCTGTGCCCCGCTAATTAACTCTCCAGCCTTATTGACCTGGTCTTCAACGACGTGACTGGCGTCCTGCGCCTTTTCTGTAGCGATTTGTTCTACATCCTTCTTCTTCCGTTCGAACAGTGCCGATGTCTTCTCACCAATGCTTCGGAACGCGCCTGAAATGTGCAGTTATTTCTTTTTTTAAGTTTTTCAACAGTAATAGACCAAAGTGTATCATACTTAATGAAATATCGTCTTTGAATAAGAGCTACTACGTTATATACTAAAGAACAGCGGCTATTTTATCCATTCAAATGGTCCTTGAATAGACTCTTAAAATTAATGTCACCGGAACGTTCATTAAATCATCCTCCAATATGTGAATCTGTATAGGTTTTATATAGGACTGCGTAACATGGTAATGTAGGTATCATTTTCCGCACATTATTTACCTAAACAATTAATACGTCCTTTGAATATTATTTGAACAAACTTTTGTGTTATTTTATATAAAGTTGGTAATTGTTGTTTATAAAATAGAATACACCAAATAACATGCACCTTACAATTAGTTCAATTTTAATAGTAGCTCCTCATGTTTCAAGGCGAGCGACAACATTATTGATTCGCGTAAAAACAACTCTACCGTCAAGGAGAAATTTCTGCATCGACTTGTTCTACCTATGCAATTTAAAACCGTAGAGTTTTGAAATTAATATATCTTGGAAATGAAAATACTTTTTCGGATCTAAATTGTGTATATTTGTTTTTTAAACAAACCGAATGTTTTGAGGTTCTTTACTGGTCGCATAGTTGCGGCTGACTAGCCTGTAAAGAGCTCGAAACGCTTGGTTTGATTGAAAAAACAAGTATACGTGATTTAAATAGATATTTTAGTAGCAGTAGAGTTTCTCCAAAGAAGTACTGATACCTGATGTGAGCATTACTGCGTTCCGGTTTTGATGGATAAGGGTGCTGGTGAAATTACAGGCACAAGGGACTTGTCAACTTATGTCTTGGCGGTTTAAAGCTCTGAGTGGCACTGTAACTGTCATGAATAGACGTGTTGCTTACCACCACGTACATGAATTGCTCGTTCCGTAAAAAAATTAGATAAAATAAAAAATAAATTCATTTCCAATTCGTAAGTATCCCAAAAACCTAAGATAATCGATTTAGAATATATTAATATCTATAGAAAATACCGAGATCTAAAAAAGTTCTCAAATTCACTTTGTTATTACGGAAAAATCTCGAACGTCCTTCCGTATGACAATGTACTTTACCTATTATTATAAGTCTCAGGTGAGTCACAATAAATATTTTTATATAACGAAACCTAAATATTTAAAGAAAAGTATTTAGTCTTTTCTGGTACCTTCATATAAACGTGTATGGAATTTGGTTACTTTTGTTACATATATAACGCAGGTATTTAAACTGGTATTGAACTCACCGTCTATTTGGAGAGCATGAAAACAAAATACAAATATTAATTTTAAATAATTACATA